GATATTAGTATGCACTTCGGTCTTGACAAGTGCCGTGTCTTAAATATAATCAAAGAAAAGATTCAGCCCGCCGGATTCGATATACAAAATGGCAAGAACTCTGTTCTCTGTCCTATACTCGCTATACTCTGTCGCAGGCTGTACCCTCCGAAGTTTACACACTTACTGCGCATCAAGTGGGCGTAGCGATTGTAAGATTTTCAAAGTCGTTTCTAGTTTTGATAAACTGAATGCATACAAATCCCATTTAACTTTAACAAGAATTCAAATTCTACTCTCCAATGACGGCATGCGCGAACACGACCGATTTTGTGCTACGGGAAAATCATATCTGTTAGTCATAGTATCATGCTATCTTATCATCAACAGCAGCGTTTAAAGTTGCCCATAATGAGCACATATTCATTTTGTGGAATTTCGTTTACTGTGCTCTGGAAGTGTTCTTAGCATTCTCTTGTATTTACATCTCTGTTGTTTTCAAGTGCATACAGTGCTATCACATTTAAGGCCTTGACGTCTAGTTTAATCCTCATACAAACTATTCTTTCTGAGACATATTTACAGTCTTCTTCTTGGTTTGAAAGGTTCTGTGCCTACTAATACGGCCACTCCTCTGGTTATTCACAACACCATTTCTTATTCTTCTTTTTATATAGACAAGAATTTGTCTCTTTTTCAATGTGCCTCCAGTAAGTTGTCATTCCATCATTTTCGTGGTCTTCCTATTGGGGAACTGTCTCTTGCCGTCTTTGTTAGTCTATTTGTTGTCATTCGGTTTATACTCTTCTCAAAAGAAAATGTAGAAAGTATTTTTGAAGTGTGTATATTTACACACTTCAAAAATACTTTCTACATTTTCTTTTGACTTGTCATAAGTGTGTACAAAAAATATCAGTCTTTTGATTATTTATACTCTTCTATTTCTTACCCAGTTCTTGATGTTATCCACCTTGCATCTACGTCGTATACTTGTATTTCTAGCTGTCCCATACTGTCTTACCCTCAATTTTTCCAAGTGTTTTCATCTCTGCTCTTTCTAACATCCTTTTTGTCCCCTCTGTGTCAGGTCTTGTTTCTGCCGCGTATGTCATTATTGATCTGATGACTGTTTTGTAAATTCTGCCTTTCATTTCTTTCCCGATATTTTTATTTCTCCATATTGTTTCATTTAAGCAGCTTGCAGCTCCATTTGCTCTATTCACTTGATCTTACACTTCAGTTTCGAGCTTTCCGTAGCTAGATAATGTGATGCCTAGATGTTTATGATGGCACTGTAACATTAAATGCATAGTTATCCAACATAATTTGAACTTTTCCCATTTTCTCTGTCACTTCAAGCGCACAGATATCAATATTCTTCTCTCTCAGAGTTAGTGATTTTACGTTTCACGTATCTACCGATTCGAAGAATATTTTCATTTTCCTTTTTCTCGCTTTGGACGTCATTGTTAAATTTGTATTGTACCAAGTCATAACCCTGACTCTATGAGCAAAATATTTATAATCCATCAGTAGGGTGCTAACCTTGCTAAAGATTCCGGCAACAGTACCTACTGTTAAGCTACTGATTCACGCAACAGCACTACTGGCGGAGTTGATTTAAAAACAAGTCTAGTAAATGATTACAGAAATGTACTGATTACATCACTATGATAATCAAAAGAGCTTAATTTATTTTATCCCGAATAAGCAGACAATTGCTTATGTGAAATGAAATCGTAGGCTTCCACGGCCAGAGTCAGAATTATAGTTTATTCGTCTTCCGCGTTTGGACCGTGTCATTTGTGAGTGACCCGAAAGTGGGTTCATCTCGACGTTTCGCTACAATTGTATGTAGCTTCTTCAGGAGAACAAAGAAAAGGAAAAAAGAAAACAAAAGAACAGGAAGATGGGTAGTTAGCAACGGTAACTCAGTTACTCAACGCAACCAGAGGCGAATACTAACTACCAAGATGGGCATTTGGTCACAGTAACTCAACTACTCAACGCAGCCAGAGGTGAAAACCAAATGCCAGGACAGGGATTCACGTCCAACAGCTCAGAACACTAACGCGTCGAGAGGCGGGGAGTGAATCCGACGATTACACTTCATTGTTGCGTTGGTTCTCTCTGTCTTTGGTATGGTACTTCTTTTGTTTTGGGGTTTTGGCATCCTGTTATAGGCTTTTGCCTCTTCAGGATGTGGTTCTTGTGTTGTTGGTGTTGGCTTCTGGTTCTTTGCTTCGTGGTCCACTGGTGGGTGCAGCCAGGGCAATCAGTGGAGAAAGGTAGTGGTCGGTTCTTTTCAGAATTGTTTTCTAAAAAATAATATTAGTGATAGTTAGTGAATGTTAAATTAATATATGTACAGAATGCAATATTAATATATGTATAAATACATGCATTAATATGTTAAATAGTAAATGTGTTAAATGTGTTAACGCGACGCGTGAGGGCAGCTGCGGCTGTATCCTCAAAATAGACAGGTATCATTTGCAAGTGGGATCGGGAAACCGCAGAAAACCGATCCCCCCCTGTCTAGGCAAGCTCGAAGTGAGCAATTTAGCTTGGAATGCGACGAAAATAGAGGGGAGTTGCCTCCTGTATGTCAATGTATTCATCAGGGAGTTCGTTACTGGCGAGTTCCAGTAGAATTGCGGGTAGGTGTGGGATTTTGGGTTTAGGATGTCTGGTGAATACATTGCCGCGGGAAGAGCAGACAGTTTTTAGGATGCGTTGAGCTCTGAGGTTTTGGCTCCGGATAGTGCGTGTAGTATAACTTCTGCTCAGAGAGTGTAGTCTCTCATTTAGGGGCTGGATATTAGATAGTTGATGAATGAGGGCTGAAGGGTAGTCGTTGCGTTTGCCATTCACTCTACGCAGAATCCTCCGCTCTAGGCTTAATAGGTTTTCTTTGACTGGTTTTGATATTGTAGCATAAATATTTGATCGGTATTCAAAAATAGGTCTAATAAAAGTTTTATAGGTGAAAATTAATGTTCTAGAGTGCGTGGCCCCGAAATTACATCTCAATCCGACGATTACTCCGCTACCGCTCTATTTATAGTCGCGGTGCCTGTCGTGTCGGGACGTATCGGCACACTTCGTGGCGCGAACGTCAAGAAGCGCGCGCTGGCCAATCATGTGGCTGCATAGTGGTGGCGGGACCGGACGGTGGCTCTAGACTGAGATTCCAGATGGGAGACAAGTAGTATCCTTCCTCTCGATTGATATTATGGGGATTTTTTCGGATCTCTAGAGATTCGCGGATTTTCCTGGAATAAAAGAAGGGGCTCTTAGAAATAATATGGGTTTTTTCGAACAATATGGAATGACCGGTTTCTTGGCAGTGTTCGGCAACTGCAGAATGGGAGAAAAGACCTGATCGAATGCATCTTTGATGCTCTTGAATCCGAGTTTTGACGGAACGACCAGTTTCGCCAATATACACATGTCCACATGAACAAGGAATAGAATAGACACCACAGGAAGATAGGGGCGGTAATGAGTCCTTAGGAGAGGGTAGATATTGTGAGATTTTCTTGGGTGGTCGAAAAGTAGTCCTGATACCTTCTTTGCGAAGAATTTTGCCAATCCTATCAGTGACATTTCGAATATACGGAAGAAAAGCCACAGGAGTATTACCCGAAGATTCTGAATTTGTTGTCCTAGGGTGTAAGGGGGATTTAGATGTCGGTGTGTAATATTTTGAATTGTGGACTTGGAGTAACCATTGGCGACAAGGGTTTTTTGCAGATGGCCAAGTTCTTCTCTAAGGTTGTCGGGTTCAGAAATCGAAATGGCCCGATGGATGAGAGAGTTGATCACAGAATTCTTTTGGGCAGGATGGTGGTGTGATGAAGCATGTAGGTAACGATTCGTGTGAGTCTTTTTTCTATAAACAGAGTGACCCAATCGGCCATTGGGCTTGGAGGTGACTAACACATCGAGAAAGGGAAGGGACCGATTATTTTCTACTTCCATTGTGAATTTTATACTCGGATGTTGTGAGTTAAGATGATCTAGGAAGGAAGAAAGGGTAATTGCTTATGTGCGTCATCTTCGACGTCCTCTCCTTAAGTAGGTATATACTTATTTAAGGACGATGTCTCAATACTATTAACGTAAGTAGATGTGATAAGTATAATATTTTAAATATTGATTCATGAATTACAATAGTATATTAGGAAAATTTATTACTTTAATAAAAAATTACTGAAACAATACTAGCAATAAAACTTTTTCGATTGTAATAATTTTTGTTCTAATTTACCATAATTCTAGTAGGTATTATGTGCGTGCATAAAAAATATTTAATTTTTATCATATTTACTTTGGAACTTTTTTATTTTTAATGGAAAATAACCATTTGCTATTTTAGTTGGAAATAAGCCACAATTTTGCTTTAAAATTAAGTTTATTTGACGTTTCGATTTCCACTTCGGAAATTTATCTTTATAATTCACTAATCAGCGCGACTTTAATTGAAATTTATTTTTTATTATTTTCGAACCAGAGGTCTCCGCAGAAGGTATCTGTGAGACTTCCCAAAACGTAACACTAATGGTGCCTTTTACGATCCAATTAATTCAATCCAACAGTGGATTGCTTCAGCTTCGTCATGATGAAATAACTAAAAATAAAAGCAAAATCGCCTAGTTCCATATCTTACAAAACATCTTCTGCACAAACGAAACTTTAGACGAAGGTAATTCATAGAGTTCCCAAATTTATCAGGAACAGAAAAAAAGATGAAGATCTACTTTCTTATTGTGAGGAGTTGGATGGTCTCCATTCGGATTTGAATCAACGATTTGATATTTTGAAAATAAACATACGTGATTGAATTTTGGATAATTTCTTTTAATATTTGTTTTAAATATCTGTAATTTACACTGAAGTAGAAATCTGCATAGAGAACGTAAATAAAACCACAATTAAAAAGACAATACAATATTTTAATTAAAATCAAAAGAACAAACATAAAGCATATAAAAATTATTTACTATAATTACAACTATTCCCACTAAACGCACAAACTTTCACGTACCACTAGAATGTAGAGACATATGTTTCTTCAAACAAATCTTTCGTGTAAATCCCTTCGAGCATACGTGGCATGTAAAAGGTTTATCTTCAGAATGCGTATACATATGATCTCTTAGACAGATTTTCCTTTGAAAACTCTTTGAACATATGTCACATTTGAATGGCCTCTCTCCGGTGTGAATCAAAATGTGGCATTTTAAGTAATCTTTCCTTTTAAAATGCTTCTGGCAATATTCACACTTATGCGGAGAGTTAATTACATGAGAAGTTTTGTGTAGGTCCAAGTTTCTTTTGCTGGGAAACCTTTTCGAACAAATTTCACACAAGTATGGTTTGAAGCCAGTGTGAAGATAAACATGGGCTCTCCAATTTTCTTTCTGAACGAAAGATCTAAGGCAGTATTCGCATTTAAATGGTTTGTCTTCGCTATGGCATCGTTTATGAGCAGTTAAGTATGTTTTTTGGATAAATCCTTTAGAGCATATATCACATGTAAATAATTTTTCTCCCGTGTGATTGTACATATGATATTTGAGACGATATTTGCATATAAAAGATTTCAAACATACCTCACACTGGTATGGCTTATCTTTCATATGAATATACATATGACTTTTCAAATACGTTTTGCGTTTGAATCCTTTTAGACAAATTTCACATTCAAATGGTTTATCAGTAGTGTGACACAATTTGTGAACAGTTAAAGTGGCTTTGTCTCCGAAACATTTAGAACATATCTCACATTGGAATGGCTTATCATCTTTATGGCTTTGTTTATGGCGTTTCAAATATTCTTTACGCTTGAAACACTTCAAACAAATATCACACTGGAAAGGTCTGTCTTCCTCGACAGCTTCATTAGAGTCATCCTTAAGATCCATATATTCTTCAATTGCCATTTCATTTTTTATTCGAATCCTCGTTGGCATCAAATTTTGCTTCGAAAATAATTGGTTTTCTTCGGCAAACTGTCTATGATTGTGTAGTTTAGAAAATATGCTTTTCTTTACACAATGTGACACTAAGTGTCGTGTAAATTCATTTTTTCTTATGTAACACTTTCCGCACAAATGGCAAACAAAAACGACGTTGGTGTTAGAAACGTTTGATGTCTTCTTTTTCTTGCGAACATTTTTCAATTCTGAAACAAATAAACACACCATAAATATATGAATTAGTATCATATGATCGGATTATTAAATAATATATTAACGATTAAGTGTACACCTACATTGGAACCGTATTTCTCCCGATCCGATATCGGGCGACGTCGGCCGACGTCGGATTGAAAACATACTCAAGGTATTAAATCATAGTGCCTATACTGCTTCCGTGACGAAGCAGTATAGGCACTCTGATTTAATACCTTGTGTTTGTTTTAATCCGACGTCGCCAGATATCGGATCGGTAGAAATACGGTTCCAATGTAGGTGTACACTAAAATATACGAGTAAGTCTTTATACAATAGACAATATCAATATACCAGATAAATCTGCCTAAATATCATTAGTGATCTGTCGTGTTCTTCATGTGGCACCCTTTCTAAGGAGGTTGGCAGTGATCATGAAAATTGTAGCATTTCTATTTCCTTTCGAACATGTTAAAACACCGAAAAGTATTTTTAATCTTTTTGCGTCGCGGAGATTTTGTCATCAGAAATTGGTTATTAACAGTGAAGTGTAGTTAAGGAAGATATTGATTTGGAAGAAATAGCTTTCGGGTGTAGTCTTCAAAGCCAGCAATTTTTTTAATTTGAAAAGTGAATTTGTGCTGAAAATGCTAAATGGCAGTCTTTGTTGAAATAATCACTGATTTTTTTGTGCTGGGTCCTATCTGAGAGATTTGTAAGAGCGTAAGGGCGTTTCCAACCAATTGAGATGTCCACATGGTTTAAAGAAGAAACTGAGTGGTCGAGTTTTGAAAATTGCAATTTGTTGTCATCCAGGATAATCGGAGGCCCGAATCAGTTCCAACTTCCCAAGAATTGTCCATTTCCACGGTCCCATTGTCCATTTTTATGTTCCATGATTGTGTCGGACACAGTTGTGTGTTGTTTGCAGTGTTTTGGTTCAGTTCCGATCCCAAAAACTTCTTAAAGGAAATACCAACCAGTGATATAAGGTACTTTTAGTTAAAATTTTTCTAAGCAAAAATAGACATTCTTTGATTTCTTTCTTTGTAGTTACCTTTCCTAGCCCCTCCTTTATTCACTTACTTACGACCCAGCTCTCCATTAAGAGTGGCCGTTTGCAAACGTTTCGGTTTGTTTGTTTACCCTACCTCCAGCCCAGTAATTGCTCAGTCCCCACTTTCAACCCCCTATAAGTGATACCCAATGTGGTAGGTAAATATATACCATTACAAAATTCATATTTTTTATGTAAACGAAACTACATCCAAACCAGTCCTCCAATTGTTCAACCAGAAAATATGTAACTTATCTTGATTTATTCTTTCCTGTATTATCCATGGCATTAGGATTTGAAGCTAGTTATATATAATGTTCATTTTTTTGATGGGTGTGTGTGTGTTTGAGCATTATTGGCTTCAGAGTTAATGTTCATTTGCCATCTCATCTTTATGGGATTATTTTGTACATTTTATGCGGAAGCTCTAAAGGAGTGCTCCTGGCTTTCTTCTTGCTTCTTAGGTAAGTACCCAATCATAATTCTGTTCTTATTTTAGAAAGATATATAATTAGTTGTTTTTTATATATTCGTCCCATTTTTGTACTGCTTTATTTTTTTATATGTTTTATAGGAATATACGACAAAAACTTGAGAATTATAAAAAATATCAGAATTGACCTAGACACTTCTGAATCAATTGAAATTCGCCGTGGACAGGAGTGCACCTTGCTTTTTTATCTGTATTTCGAGCATATTCTCGAAGAGGTACTTGCCAGGGTTGATGCCGGTATCACAGTCAACGGAACTAAGATCTGTGATTTGAGATATGCGAATGACACTGTGTTTTTTGTGAGTTCTGCTGGCTTAAAAATAAAGCAAAAAAACGAGAAAATCACTTATCTCGGTTCAAATGTAAATGACAATTGGGATCATGCTAGAGCAGTGTCTTTGCTAATTACGAAGAAAGTATTACGTGGACAGAGTGTTGATAATATCTTGAAAATAAGACAAGTCAAATTTTACACCTATTCGACATTATTGTATGTAGTTGAAAGCTGGATGCTCACTAAATCACTATTAAATAAACTTCAAGCTTTCGACATGTGGGTCTATCAAAGGCATCAACAGATAAACTTTGTTGACAGAGTAACAAATGAAGAACAAGGTTTAAAAAACAACCCGAAGCAATGAAAACTGTAAAAATACGAAAGTAGAAGAACATTATCTCTACTAGTACTTGTTGACTTTATATTATCTCTAAGTGTTCTTTTAGTACTAGTTCTGGTCTTTCGTCTCTGATAAGTTCCTGAATATACCCTTGCTAACTTTTTAGTCCGTCCCTGTTGTCCAGAATTATTTTCCAGTCTTCTAAAAAGGCATAAAAATAAAGGATATGTGTTGTTTATATCCCCCCTATTTAGTCTATATTCTGAAAGTGTTTATCATCTTTTAGAGCATATGTAATTATTATACAAACACTAGTAATTGCTGTTAGCACTCAAAGGCATAAGAGCATGTCATCCTGAGCATGTATGTGAAACCACATTTAGGTACAAACATTAACCAACAGGATGACACAAAAATACATGTCAGATCAAAAATTGTAGAAGCCCATAAAATTCTTAATAGCATTAGGTCACTTCTGGCAAAGTGCAATCTTCATCTGAAAACAAAACAAACTGGTTCATTTGAAATGTACATGGAAATGATATGTCCTGTGTAAAGCATGGAAATGATATGTGTCCTGTGTAAAGTAATCTCATTATAATTGCAGAAGTTCAAAACCATAATCACAGAAAAAACGAAAATTAATTGATGACATTATAAAATCAAAAAGTCAAAGTAAGTGTTAAATGAAGATACATTGTTTGACAGGTTTGTAGGCCTTGGTTTTTGTCTTTCTCTCAGTTAGCAGAAGACAGTTACAACCATTGGTACATTGCCTTTAATTATGTCTGCTCCAATTGTAAAAAAAATCACTATGAAGAACTGATTTTGGACCACAACACTCACAAGAATGTGGTATCTTTGCATTTCACAGCCATGAAGTGTGGTTTTCACAACTATGTGGTTTCTCTACACAACATTGAAGGGTAATCTAGAAGAACTGATAGAAATCAAGGATATAGATTCAGGAAGAACAAATCTACACCAGACATACTGTTTACAATAAAACAAATTTAAGAAAAATTTAAAGTTTAATATAGAAGTTTTGTTTAAATGAATTTTCAAATTTAAGAAGAGCATTAGAAAATAAAAATGCTTATTCTTATTGAGAGTATTCTGTGACATAGTCACCCACATGGATATTCTTCATAACCAACTACAACTGAGAAATCAAAATAGTTTTCAAATGCAGAAGACTCAAATCCACTAAGCGAAGAAAAATTAATGGCAATATAATGGGAGTCATTGACAACAAACTGTGCTACACATAATTACAACAAAACTAATAAAGAGGCATAATTGAAATATTCTTGCAACTTTCTCTTCTGATATTTTGAACAGTATTTGCAGAAATAACACAATTAAAAATGATATACTAGATACAAAATTTAAATGAAATCATCAGCTCAAACATCTTTCATTATATAATGAAAATAAATCAGCATTTATTCTGTAAACAGCAAATCAAGTATTGATCAAATTAAAGGCTAGTTATGCAGCAGTTTGATTTGACCGAAAAGTTATTTTATCCACCTGCCAGATATTTGTTAGTCTGTGATCTCAGTATATATACAGCACTATGTATGATCCTACATTAATGATTACATGAAAATTGTAATAAAGTATGTATAGAAGTAAAAATGTAATACTAACTTGATTTAAAAGTTGGATACAGCAGTCGCTTTTCAAATGTTCCTTTTCTAAATTGCTTTTTAAGAAATTGTTTTGAGGGCTTTTTAATACTAGGTCCTACAGTTTTAACTATATGATCTTGATCTTTCCATAAGAGTTCATTCTTTATATCACAATTAATAACTTCTTGCTTAATATTAATAAAATTATCATTTTGAATATCGAACGGATTTGCTGTATTTTCTATTATAAAATCATCATCAATTTCTTGTTTGATTTCAAGTTTTAAAGTCTTATCAGTCTGTGAAGAATCTTCAATATAATAATTTCTTTCTTCAATATAAATACTGTCTGGTGGTTCTTGTTTCACTTCCATTCTCTAGATTTATCACTTTAATACAATAACCGCATATAAATAGTAAGCAAATTTTTATTGTAAAGAAATAAAAATAAATAAAATTCTTGTTTATAGTTATAGAATCTGACAGTGACAGCTGGATGAATAAATCTAAATATCAGAGTAAATATAGTGAAACGTTGCAACATAGCTTGTAGATGAATTGAACGTTGTTCGGTGATTGAACCATTGAACTCTTACAAAAAAGGATCTTCAGCAAATCCCAAAAAAATTAACACATCGCTCATAGTTTTTATTTTTCTTATTAAGAATAGTTTTTAAAATTAGGATAATGTTCTATTTGTTACATGAAAATATCCCCAATTTAAATGAGATATAAATGAATATATTTTAAAACTAAAAAAGTCATTAATTCTATTATTGAATATTTTTTAACATTAGTTCTAAACCATTCTGACTTCAGACTTCAGGTGTTATTTTTATGTCAAATCTTTTGAAACTATTTGTAAATTTTGAATTCAGTTTTCATCTAATAAATAATTTAATATTGTTCTTTTAACTCAAGTAAAATATCTAACAATAAATACCTTACATGAAATGTAAAAAACAAGTATAAAATTCAAAGTGGAATATTTTCTTAAGGATATTAATAAGTTATCTGGCAACGTTGAGACCTTGCTGTCGTCATCTGTTTGAGTCGTCAGTCGTCATTATCAATGTCAGATCACTGTCAAATGAGGGGGGTTAATTATAATCAGCGAGCCACATGAACTTTTATTTTTCTTAAATTTCTATGTTTGAAACAAGTGTTGTTAACAGAAATGAATTAACCATATACATAAGACGCTGAAATCGAAAAGAAACGTGTTTTCCCTTATCGTTGCCAGTGATTTTAGCGGTGATATAACTACTTAACGAATTAAGTAAGTACATTTAAAGTATATTACTTTAAACAATAAATAAGTTCAATAGATAATTAAAAAACATTAACTGGTGGTATCAATAAATCACTGGGTTATTTGAATATGTATCTGTATGTATAGAATACTTATATATGCAATAAACGTAAACAAAATTAAAAATAACATGTTTGCGCGAAGTATAAATTTTTTGTTTTCAGCTAAGTAATTAAAAATATTTTCAAATGCCAAAAACGTTAAAATTGGTTTCCTTTTCTCAAATTTATATTACAGGACCAGATTAAAATTGAAATTAAATAAATGTTTGGAAAATACAAATATTGGATACATACTATATTTGCAGGAATTGTTTTAGTAGATGTTTTTACTGATTTTTTTTTTAGTTAAAGTAAAAGTCAGTTTAGCTAGTAAAAGTCATTGCCTATTGTTTTTAATGAATGGTTATGCATTTAATTTTGAACCTAAACATAGTATAAAAAAATGTCAATTTCTCCACTTTTTAGGTTTCTCAAGTCAATAAATTGCACATTTTCAGTGATAGTTGCTAATTTAAAATAAACAAATATTTAATAAGTATCATAATTAAAATTATTTTATCATTGCATCATTCTATACATTATATGAATACTTTTTCTGGATATACTTATTCCGTTTATTAGATCTTCTGATATTGCTAAATTACTATTTAACCAATTTGCCTCTTGTTTACTAAGACTATAGTGGTGTTTATGTATAATGTCTCTCATAAACTTTTATTTCTCTGAGAGATATGGGTTGGGCTGTTTATTTAACTTTTATTGTTTGGATTTGATACCATTGCACTATTTTACAGAATTTTCATTCTTTTTTACTTATTATTAAAATTTCCTTTATTGTTAAAATTTTCTTTTTACTTGTAAAATGATTAGTTGTAACATTTATGAAGAAAAACAGATACAGCAACATGTCCTAACATATTTCTACTGTTAATTTTGGTACTTAAAATCAGTCATGAAATTTGATGGATTAGGTACTTACAATGTCAAAAGCTTTTTGTAAATGTTAATGTTTATTGTCTTGATATATTTTTTTTATATTTGTTTAGTATTTTTCAAACAGTATGTTGGCCAGTGCATAATTTGGAGCCTGAAACCTGTTTGACTAGTTACTTATGAAACATCTACTGCATTCTTTTTAGATGATATATGTCAAGGTCTTTTTGTCCCTGTTCAATAAACTAGACATCTTCAAGTTTTTTTGTTGTTGTTATTGTCTTTATTATTTTGTTAAAGGCATTATTTATTAGGCTTTGTCTTCAAATAAGAAAATTATAATACATAATTAATGTACTTAAGAGTATAAGTATACTCAGCATGTAAATGAAATTAGAATCCTTACCTCCTTTTTAACTTGTCTTTTATATCCCATCGGTGAGCTAGTCACATATTATAGTTTTACAGTGTAATTTTTGATGTTCATCACCTAATGCAGCAGGTTAGACCAGCTGCTCCTGTAGTAACTCTTCCCTATGGGAATGGTCGTCCACATTCATAACTCTTCACTCAGTAATAATAAAATATGAGTGAATAAAAAAAAACTGAATATTTTATTTTTGATTAAGTAGTTTTCATTTCCCTTAATAACCATTGATTCATGCATATTTTCTATACAAAATACTTCCTATATTTTGCATCTACCAGGCTTCCCACCATGGCTTATCTTCCCACTATACCTTCCTTTAATAACTATTAATATGTTGTGATTGGCTGCGTAGAGAGTACCAATGGCAATAAAGAATTAACATTGTTTAAATATTGTGCTTTTATTATTTTCTTTTAGTTGGTTATCTAGTGAATGTGTCAGACCTTATAGAAGTGGTTTTGTATGTTTTCTTGTAGTTTTTGCAATCTAATTTTTCTATATGCTTTGTTTCTTTTGCTCTCTGTTTTATATCAGTCAATTTTTTTCCTTTTTTTTTTAATAAATATGTGACAAGTCATTTTTTAGATAGTTCTTGATTATCACAGACATAAATTTTTATATAGGAAATCTTATAGATGTCAGGAAAGATATTTCTGACAGTCCTGCACTCGAGAATATATCTACAGTTAAATCGTGAAACCTGATAAGTCAAACATTGATCATTTGTAGATTTAAATAAATCAACAATATTCTTGTCCTTGAAACATGAAACACAACAAACCAGGCGAACAGTTAAGGCTACCAGTATCATTATGAAGCTATATTGGGTTAATATTAATTTAGCATTATTATTCTCTTTTAACTATTTTCAGTTGTAACATAATTTACTAACAGATTGATTAAAAAAATTGTTGTTGCTGCTGTTTCAATAAGCATTTGAGATAAAAGGGCTGTTTACCCTTTTCCTAATTCCTAAAAACCATTATCAGCATAGTTTTTGTTTCTGTGTTCTTGTGATGGGGTTAGAAGATTGTCACAGTTAGCATGAAACTGTGAGAAACTATGGTGTAAGACTCTCAAGTGTGCAACAAGTATGGCGACTGTACGAAGAGACCAGTCTGCTTATTCGAAGACATGTTTCAGGTTGAGGCAGAACTACAACTAGAGATGACCACATTGTTGTTGCTAGTGTTTTGAGAAACTGAGACCAGTTTCCCTTCCAAATCATCTGAATGAAGTGAGAAATGTAAACGTAAGTTAATGGACAGTTAGGAGGAGACTTCATGATGCTGGTTTATCTTCTCAAACTAGAAGAACTAGACCGCCGCTTTCATGTGAACTCCAAATTCTTAGATTGCATTTTGCATGAGAGACACTTGCTTGGACAATACAGGATTCGAATCTTGTATTGCTTTCCAATGAATTGTAATTCTGTTTTACGGGCTCAGACAAACGTCTAGCGTGTGGCGACGTCCAGGCAAGAGATATGTTATAGAACTTGTTATGCCTGACACATGTTATAGAAGACCATGTTTTACCGTTTATGGTTATTCTTGGAGACGACACAATATTTATCATGGTAATGTACAGCCCCACAATGCTCGGATAGTTACTGAGTATCTTGACGAGGTTCAAATCATACGATTTGTTTGGCCTGCTCGCACACCAGATATCAATCCCATAGAACAAGTTTGGGATGAGATTAAGAGACGTTTACATAGTCATGTGTTAGCTCCCAGAAATTGAAGATAACTTCGCGACATATATGTGCAAGGAATTTAACAATCTTCCGCAGAATGCGATCCAAAATCTAATCCATAGCATACCTCGTCGTTTGAAAGCTGTTTTCACTGCCAGAGGGGGGAATACTCGTCACCGACGTTCTTAAATTTTTTTTGTTTTAATAAAAAGCACATCAAATTCAAATTCTCCCTTTTCAATGTTTAGTATGTCAGAGGAAAATTGTTCATTTTCATTACTTTTAATAAACTTTAAAGGACAAAAACGTTGTTTTCTTTAAGTAATACTTTAGTTAACAAGCATGTTACAACCAAAAATAGGTAAAAAACAATAATAATTTCTAATATAAATAAATTAATTAATATAAGAAAAACGATATACCTAAACTTTCGCAAAGTTTACTGCTTATAGAGCCCATATATTCTGAATTTGAATTACAGTAAAACCTCCCTTACGAAACGCTGGCAGTTTCAATAATTTCGTCAATAATAAGTAAATTTTTATCGCAAAACGTAGACAACTCTATTAATTTTACTACCAATTGATGCTTATGTGTGTTGGGAAATAAAAAAAAAACCAAGAGCTCTAAAAGATATTTCCAAAAAAGCACTTCTAGTTTTTTATAGAAGCCAAAAAAGCTCATGGATGTCGACCACTTTATTTTTAGAATGGTTAGAAAATGAATTCGTCCCAAGTGTAAAATCCTTTTTAAAATCAAAAAACCTTCCCATCAAAGCATTGTTGATAAGCGCCGAACTCACCCTCAAAATCTACAAAATACTGACAATTGTCAAATTTTTGCCACCGAATGTCACGAGCTTAATTCAGCCGTTAGACCAGGGAGTAACAGAGACATTCGAGGGACATTATAAAGAAACATTAAAACATCTGTTATTACTAAAGACGAATGAATCCAAAAGTGTTCCCGAAATTCTCAAATCTTTAACAATGAAACATGTTGTTTATTGGTGTGCTGAGTCGTGGGCCAAGATCAAATCTTCAACTCTAGAAAAATGCTGGAACAAACTTTTTGATGGGATTTTGAT